CCCGCCTGCCCTTGAGGGGCGCCTCAGAGGGCGCCGCGGGTGGGGGGGAGGGGGCTCCGCGGCGCAATTTTCCTGTTTAATTAATTGATTAATTTATTTATTTATCATCCCGCCGCATCGCAGGGGGAGCGGGGTCCAGCAGGTCACAGGCCCGTTAGGTAGCCCGTTAGGTTAAGGTGGTTCCGGCCGCGCGTGTGTCTCGGCCGTGCACGGGAGCATCCCAAGGAGAGGCCGCGCGGCGCCCGCCCTGGTCCCTGCGGCCTCTGCGAAAGTGGAGCAGGGGTTAGGAGATACGGAGCGATTAAAAGGGACCCTGTGACACGCGGAGAGTAATTAGCAGTAGGTGATAGCCTCGCGTCTGCTCTCCTGAGGTTTCACCAGCCCGGGGTTTTAAATGCTTCTCTCGTGCACGGGAGCATCCCAAGGAGAGGCCGCGCGGCGCCCGCCCTGGTCCCTGCGGCCTCTGCGAAAGTGGAGCAGGGGTTAGGAGATACGGAGCGATTAAAAGGGACCCTGTGACACGCGGAGAGTAATTAGCAGTAGGTGATAGCCTCGCGTCTGCTCTCCTGAGGTTTCACCAGCCCGGGGTTTTAAATGCTTCTCTCTGTGGGACGTTTACCAAACCTGGCTGGGACAATGAATTCTTCATGCTCGCGAGGGCTGTTGCAGCAAGAGTAGCCCGTTGGCATTGTTCTCCTCTTAAATAAATATTAGCTTTAGCTGTGATATCGCAGAGTTGCCTTTGGCCTATCCGCTCTGCTCCGACTTGCAGAGCTGCTCTCGGGGCCACCTTTGGCAGAGGGGATCTGGTATCTTTTGGGGCTGGAGCTCAGGGGATGGGTGTCAGAGCTTCAACACGAGAGAACTTCACTGGCCTTCTAAACACCTGTCTGTCTGGAGGAAACCTGGAGGAGGACAGCCTGGGAGCCCGGCCTGACTCCATAAACGCTCTGTTGAAGTCTCCGCTGCTTGGGCCCCAAGTGCCACGTGCGTTTCCAAAGGGTGCTGCTGTCTTCTCCAGCTCCTGGTGTG